CATGCCTATAATACAAACAAAGAATGTGTCATTCACAATGACTTGTTGTCTATAAACTCAGATCTCTGATTACTGTATTTTACAACAGTGCATCAATCATCAGATGTTAGCAGAATACATCCCATTGTGTCTTCATTTTTATCTTAACTTTATTTGCTGTCATAAACACTTTGTGCATTAAATAAATTACTGTTGTACAAGCAAAAGTATTTGACTATCGCTAAATAATCAGTGTCTTTGTTGCTTTACAGGTTGGTTGTCAGTAGGACCACAATTAACTAACAGTAACTATAATAGCGAAAGTTACAAACAGAACTTCAATAAAACTAATGTAACAGGATGTTCAGAAGAAATTGAACGACTCAGACCTAAATCACCACCACCCAAAAATAAAGGAGGTGGTCCTCCTGGACCTGGTGGTAGAGGAGGAGGTGGTCGAGGTGGTCAGGGGCAGCAAGGACCATGGATGGGGGGTAGAGGTGGTGGACCAGGTGGGCGTGGTGGCTTTGGAGGAAGAGGTAGAGGCATGCATCGAGGGGGATTTGTCCAAAGATGATAACGGTCAAATTATAACTATAAAACCATCTTATCTAAAACTATTTAACCAACTAGACACATGTTTCAGACACATGTTTTATGGGCGTCAATAGTGTCAGCTGACCTTACTTGAATATTCAGTGTTACTACGTTTCATATTAGTATATTTAGGCTTTCAAATATAGTGTTCTTGTCAAACAAATATTTTATAATATGTGTGTTCACACAAGTTTCCAGTCACTCAGGCATGAATGAAAAACACTTTGTATATAAGCTACAATTGGACTGCCATTTAGATTTGATGCCTACTGATTGTAACGTGACTGAGGTAGGTTTGCTTTCGTCCAGAAATCATGCTATCTAAGTTTTTAGTCAATGTACACTTCAATAATACCTGTGGATGTAATCACTACAGACAATTCATTCTAAACGTGTTATTCAGTACCTTTGCTATGCACTCTATTGGAATAGTCTGTGTATGTAAATAGCTAGGTTTATTGTTGGATCCTAGATTCTTGGATATGGATTTGATGAATCATTGTGCAAGTAGTAATTATTGCCATCTTATCTTACAGTAATACTTAGAACTATGCACCCATCCTGTCTATGTGAACAGGATAAAATTATGTATGTCTTAAACAACAAAGTATGGAAATTGATGTTTTATGGATATGATTATAATAGAGGTATTTTTTTTATTTTGCAAGGCGACTGACTGTTTTGTTTTCTTATTTCTTATGAACAATTAAAATAGAATGTGTATGCAATGGCCATTGTGTTGTGTTTAATTGAAGGTATGCAGAACAGATTTGGATTAGTTTGTGGTAGCTCTGTTATACCAGGGAGTATATGATATAACAATTTGAATTGTCTTCTCAGTACGTATTGACTTGGTGCTGAGATAATGGCCATTAAGTGTTGTCTTTTCTGACCAAATAATGCCAGATAAATCAGACACTTGCAAACCATCTGTTCAATCTATTGTCAGAGCTGCCCATATACTTGTTAGTAAGACGCCCACCTTACCTTTCTAATCCATCCATTGTTCATTTTCTGATGTTACAGTAAAATACCAGAATGCCCTTATGTGGTAGGATTGGGAAATGTGGTTTCAGAGCCACTTGCCCCAGACATTACTCATATTTTTTTAGTTTTTTTTAAGTTTTATATCAAAGGTGTAATTCTCCATCTTCTTGGATTTGTACTCTCAAAATCCATTAAGCGGTTCTTTAGATATCAGTGGAGCAGTCATGGAACAGCTACATTTGGTGAATTATCATGCATATTAATGTAATTATTATGCACAGATAATAACCAAAAACGAATCAAATTTGCGCATTTGCCCAGAACATCTATGTATAAAGTTTCATCAAAATCCAATAAGTGGTTCTTTAGATATCAGTGAAACAGACACACACCCACAAAGACTCACATTGTGTGCTTTGCACATGGGAGTCAAAAACCGCAGTAAAGTGAGACCAACAACGGAGTCTCGATATGGGTGCATGTACTTGAGTGTAGAATATATAGATATTGATTCAAAACATCTGAGGTATCGAATTTAGTGCGAGTAGGCTAAGGTGAGGATATAATGTGATGTAATCATAGTCATTAGACTCCTTGGAACTACAATGAACGAATTAATTCTTTAAAATGAAGAGAAAAATGATTCACTGTGCTATTCTTCGTCAAATTATCCCCTGGAAAAATATATATACATGTATATTACTTCAATACAACGTCTTTTCAATATATCACAAGTAATAATTTAATCTTGACATGTGTCTCTGGGACATGCAATGCGTTGCCCACCCCCACTATCACCCACCCACCCCTTATGGGGTACCTATCAAGTATACTTTAGGTCAGGCCCCAAATCTTGTTATGTGAATGTCATGTAATGTGTAGGTGTCAATAGCGCCCTCATGCACTACGTTAGTTGCGTGGTTGGTACAGCGCCGCGTCTAAACTTCTTTAGGACGCTTTCTTCTCGAACAATGACACATAGTGGGGGGGGGGCCTCAATTAGATTAAGACTATTCGTATAAACCATAGAATATCTTGTCTTTCGCTAACACTAATGAGGGCGTCATTGTCTCTGCTAACAGGGTTATGCTGCGTCATTGTTTGCTTACGAGGTAGTAGTTAGTTGATTACACATGACTACAAGCTAGGCAAACAAAGATGTGTACTCTTGTAGCTAACGAGTATCCGTAGTTTCTTGTAACACTAGTAATAATCATGGGATATACAATACCATCGGCAGCTACAATAAACAGTTTTTAAAACAATGACAACTGCATTACACAATTTGCGTGGGTGGATAAATTACGAAATATGAAAATAATGTATTGATAGCGGGTCAATACTGTGCCGGTAATGTGCCTATGTGGGACGATCAACAGTAGATTATCCAATATGGCCATTCATTTTAGCTTCAAGAGATCAAATATTTAAAGTCCAGTAGGTGGTTTTAAGAGCTATCTTAAAACAGATGGGATTATAACCCAACTTACATTAGCCACCGGGCAGTTAGATTTGTCCCAGATTAATATTTAACAAGAAGTAACAACGCCCTCATGTGTTTAAGAAGCGCAACAGAAATTTTTGTTATGAAACGTTGTGTTTCAAAAGTATGTTGAGTTCTGTGAGCGTCCTTTGCTTTGTTCCGTTCGCAATGCCACCGTTTAACCACCGGCGTCCGACGACCATATAGTGTGTTACACGTACTTATCATAAAATAAAAAAAAGTTCATTTAGACTGAAAGATCTAAATGCGTTTAATAATTGGCATTGATAATATTAGTTGTATATTTCACCAACAGCACGTCAATTATGATATTTCGAAATTACATTATTATGGAAACGATTAGGAACATGGTGCAAGCTTTGTAATCAATATAACCCCAGTCACCGGAGTTATGTCACGCGATATTGGACAATTTACATGATAATTATAAATACCTTGTAGGCAATTGGGACAACTTTGAAATATTCATGATGAAAGCAACATCGATCAAAACCGACTGTTGAAAACTGTCATTACTGTCCTTTGTCGTATTGTGATATCAACATTTCAGTTAGAACACAAACATCTAGGAGTAGAATATAAAATGTATTTTTCTGATAAATTTGCTAAATAATGTATGCATTATGGGTGCGTTTTCCGTCACGACAAATGACAGAATCAAAGTAAAAAAATGCAGGGATGAAATTGAAGAACAAGTAAACGAAATAAATAACCGCTAGCCTCCGCTTCGTGATATATGCATATTTATGATGTGTATACACGAGTGTACCTATTAGTGCGTTTAGTGTGAGTGCGCATTGTGGTTGCGTATGCACGTGTGTGCTATTTACATATATCGCTTACTTGATAGCATGTACTGAGCATGAATATCAGAATGAGTGAGTGCGTGCGTTCGTGCACATGCGTACATGTGAGAGTACTACGTGCTCATGGACATAAATGTGTTATATATGTACGATATGAAGTAATAAATGTGCGTATTTGCACGTGTGCATGATTGCAGTATAGTGCATGCGAGTGCACGCTGCGTGATTATTAATATGTTCTTTACGTTTGACATCGTTTTCTGCAGAGAAAATGACCAATTTATGCCTTGACAAATCAACTGAACATGATTTTTACCAAATAACAGTGCACTAAATAAACCAAAACGTTATCCTTTTTATTGGGTGGATAATTGTTTTCCAATCATGTGAGTTTCGCACCATCGGCCGGTAGTCTCACCAAGCTTGTAGTGATTCTCTTTTCAGTAATATCGGAGTGTAACCCAAGATGTGACGACAACCAAAGCAAAAAATGACATATATTTAAGATAATATATTGTATTAAAACCCCGTTAATCTTACACCAATAACATGTGAGCATCATGATTTTAAAAAGGGCGACGACTACCGTGAGATTCATACACCATACACAATCGCAGAGCAAGTGTTCAATAAAATCAATCTTGTTACGTTGTAAAAATTACCCTAAAACGAACAAATCTTCATTTAAGCGGTACGTTCGTTTAACCATAGTTAACGAGATCGCCCAAGAAAAAAAAATCATTTACATTTTTTTCTTCAGATGGCGTGATGCGTGGTGGTAAATTTCTTACCTTACCTTGCGCATGCTAATTGTATGCAAGAGTTTGAATTCATTACATATTCATATAGGCAGATCGGAGTGGCTGAATGTCCTCGACCCGCTTTTAATGAGCTGTCTGAGTGTTGTCCATTTCTATTGTAATAGAAAGTCTGCGTCATCCACTCAGAATCGTGTTTCCATCACCCCTATAATGGTATATATTATTATGATACCATAACGAATAGATAAATAAATAATAACATAGCGTTTTCTTTATTTAGATCAATGTACGTGAGTGTATTGCTGCCGTATTGACGGGCGGAGTACAATTCTGCATCAACAAAGAATACGAGCACGATGTCGGCAGGTGGGGCAGGCAGGCGTGCTTTCATCAAATGCCAGGTGTAAGACTGAGAATCCGATTTGAAAATTGGGACTCAATCACGCCACTCGTCAAATTGGTCGACGGTGTTACACATAACTTTTCAATTTCAAAACTTGATGGATGGTCATTATGACGCAAATGTTTATGCACAGGAGTATTAACGTGCTGGAATTATGTTTCGCATACTTTCCTAGTGATATTAATGAGATGTGTGCAGGGCATTGTCGTGTCAGGGTCGTTCTTTATATTTGGCCAGTTACCACGGCCACGATTGAATTTACGGATATCGGGAATTCTGTAACTTTCAGAGTAGTATAAACTTTTACAGCGTTTGTATATGCTCGCACCTGGAATGTAGGCATTTGTCGCTGTCGCTACTCATTAGTGATAGGTCTCATTAACCGCAAATTAGTGTGGAATAAAGTACGTGCTTTGATAAACGTGGTGACTTTATGCATATACTTTTATTATTTAGTGTTTATGATTAAGAAATTATCTACATTTTGTTGTCCAGTTTGATTTATTGTTTGTGTTTCAAGGGTGTATTTATCCGTTGTGCAAACTCTCCGCACCAGGGACAGTAATCTTCCAGTGACTCGTTACACATCATTTTAGATTCAGTAAATTGGACAAGTAATTTTTTTGGTTAAAATATTTCGATTTCTCTAGGGGTGAGTGAAAGTCGGTGCTTTCTATAATTTGACGTGCAAGTAATTTGTTGACCCGATGATTCACTGATGTGGTGTGCGAAAATCACTTGCTGTTGACCACATGGAAATGTTGCAGGATTTTTTTAGGGAATAAAGGAGGACGCATTGCCCGAAGATAACAGGGCAAATAATAAACGTGTAGTGGTAACTTGAAGATATCGTGATAGAACGTAGAACATTTACGGGAAAACGACGTACGAAAAAATGCTTTCTATATGGAAATAATCATCATTTCTTATCGTGGAAAAATTACGTCATGGTTGGTTTATTGTCCGATACGTGCAAAATGAGGAAATATTAAATATTGCTGAGTCGGATGTTCACACATTGACCTCAAACACGGCCCAGTTTAATCGTCTGATAACAGGCGGCGCTGATCAACCAATAAGAACGCAGCGTTTCTTAATGGCAGCGCGCGGTATTATAATGCATGTACATGTAAATGGCTGTCGTTTGGCTGAGCATGATTTGTTTATGGGGGGGGGGGGACTTTAAAATCGCCAGACTAAGTTAATGATTTTTTTATATTATACAAAAACAAAGTGAATAATTTTTCAGCGGGGGGGGGAGGGGGCTGTA